GGGAGAGAAGAATAATTAATTTGTTCCCATTATGGTCCCCTTCTACGACCAACCACTATTTTTGGCAGGTACGACGATTTTCACGGTTTCTAGTATGGAATCGAATTCCATTGTGATGCACACCAGAATAAAAGTCAATTACCGATCCAGGACCATTTTGCTAATGACCACAATTCGTCAGTTGCTTCAGGTGACCCTTTCGTTCGCAAATCAGTTCTTCTACTAAAACACCATATGACAAGTGTACTAAAGTTAATGTGAATTGAAAGTTCAAACAATTGTATTCAGTTATTTTCTTTATATATCTTAACGATTTTTGAACCATTTTGGAAATTCTTCTCATTGTACCCGAGTTATATGTCACGTCCTTGTAGATTATGTAAAATATTCTTCTGCTCCCTACCAAGGAAAGTTGATATACGTAATTAACTTTGAGAGTTCGAAAACAAAATGGAACGATTATGCATAACGTAATTAAACTTAAATACATACTCAATATATGGCTCCACCTCAGAGCTATTGTACAACACAAACCAGTGAGCCATTTCTCGTTCATTTTGCGAAGGTTAAGAGCCCTTGTGATAGGTGAGAATAGACGAGCATTTTGGGTGAAGACCTCCATCCGGGACCACGTTCACCACCATCATCAATTTCGTTCAGGTTTAATCAATCCCTTTTAAAGTACATTGAACAAAAGTAAGACACTCTTTGACAATGTAAGCCTCAGCGATTAGAACCTTCTGGACGTGCTCTATTACTGACATACCCTTTCAAAGTTCCGAGAAACCTTCAACAAAAATTGTCAATGAAAATTAGTGCTCTCTTGATGCAATAAAATTACTTATTAAACAATAGTCCCTTTATGGGTGGATTTTTGCACAATAGTTTAGTTATAACAAATTAATAAATAACCTATATATTCATAATGATTACCTTTCGATCGGGTACATCCATCGATATTGCACCGGTCCAGCAAACATGGCCTCATGGGGCAAGTGAACAGCCAAATGGACCATCACATCAAAGAAAGCTGGAGAAAAATTTTCTCCAACTTGCAAAGTATGAGCACAATTCGTTCCTCCATTTTTTCCAATCAGTCTGCTTAATGTTTTTGAGCACAGTTTCTTGGAAGAAGTGCCCAAATCAAATAGTGTTGTACAGATCTCCTGTTCACAAACCCGCATGCCAATTGGTAGAAGTCGCTGAAGTAGGACATGACAATCAATGGCTTTTCATGCCCGAATATCTTCCATTTTAGAAGTCACACATCTTGAGATGTTTGCTGGCATAGCCATCGGGATAACTAATAGACTCCAAGAATTCACAAAACCATCTAAATTTGTCGAGAATCCAATGTGTAGCTGCCGAGGCTTTACAACAGATCCGTTATCTTTCCTCTGTAGATGCAATTCTTGCCTTATGCCCATTTCTTGCAAATCATCACGTGCTTTGTACGTGTCCTTGTTTTCCCATCTTATGGCCAACATCGTCCCATAAAAGTTTTCACAAATATTTATTCTCAATGTGCATGACATCAAGATTGTGTCGGAGGTTTAATTTCTTCCAATACGGTAGCTCCCACATTATGCTTTTCTTTGTCCAATTCTTCTTCAGACTCTCGTGGTCTTTTCTTGTTGTAGGATCCTTCCAAACTTGACTTCCCGCAATTGATCCAATTGAGCCATTACTTTTCCCACCAGTAAGTCCAAAGATTTCTTTCTAAGCTCAGTTAAACCATCAAACTTCTTGTCTTTCCTCCAAAGGTGGTTATCAGGCAAGTAAGCTCGATGACCCACCACCCAACTTTACTGATCAACCCGCGTGACAACGGATTATCATTACAAGGAGGGCAAGACAAATAACCTTTAGTTCTCCAATCCGGATAAGTCACCATATGCAGGGAAGTCATTTATGGTCCACATTACAGCTGCATGCATCCGGAAGGTCTGTTTAGTGGAGGCATCGTAAGTCATCACGCCATTCTCCCACAACTCCTTCAACTCATCAATCAATGGCCTTAGGTAGACATTCATATAGTCCCTGGTTGATTACGTCCAGGAATA